CGCCACTAGCTGGACCCACGGTAAGATGTAGTAATGTTGCTCAGCAAGGTTGTGTGTATCCAGCAACGGACATTGAATAGATTTCGTATTATTGTATTTCGCATCAATGCAGCGAAGGACATCACAGTAATATAATGTGATGCGAAGTACCTCTGATGATATGATTTAAATCTTGCCGTTGCCATAGTTTGCCGTAGCAAACACTTCTACTCAAATTCCCACTCCAAGCAACTTCAACTTTACTCAATCGATTTGTTAGTGAAAACAATTCATTGTCCTATTCCCGTACGTGAATATGTCGTCGTCGGTTTTGTCCTTCTTAGCACGGTACCGGACAACCTCGCGCATTTAGCTCGAGCATTTTTCTATAATACTTGAAATTCAAATCGAACCTAGTCAAAAGCTTTGGGGATTCAGGTATTTTTATGAAAGTGTGCATGCAGGTGTACATAATGCAAGAGCTTAAGTATTGTGGACAGTTACTTTAAGAACTTGCATAGAGAGGAAGTTTTCATAGAATATAAGAGAATAAGTATTTCACATTAAACACATGCTTCTTTAAACTGACTACATTTGCACTAAAATTATTATGTATTTTATTAGATTTTTTCTATGTTTTCAGATTTAAAATCAGATCAAAATCAGATCAAAGCGCCAAACTTTTAAGAATTAACAACTATACATTATTGAAGTTTTTAGTAACTATTAACTTGCGTTTTCTGAGATTTTTAGTAAAAACCTTGGTCTGTTAAATACTGAGTACCGAGAAGTTCGTCATGGAGACTACCTTCAATTGGTCAAAATCTTGTTGCAAGGTTTCTCTCTCTTAGTAATATGTTTGATGGCCCATGGCTTTCCAAACTTATTCATATTAGGTATAAACATTTATTTTATCTACACGCTCTAAAAATATTATCAAATAGTGATGTTCTATCATCATCATCCGTATTTGGAACTCCTAAAGCTCAGAAACATTTTAATTCAATTTTAAATATTCTTTGTACATATACTTATGTTTCTAGGTCTAGCGAGCGAGATACGATTTGTATATATTAAGGCGTACAACGGCTTTTTTGAAATCCATGAAATATTAAAGCAGTATTGACATCACTTTGAAAATTATGGTAGTTATGGTTGGTTTTTGTTCATTTCGGTCACTTTATTGTAAGTAAATATCGTTCAATTTAGACACATAAACTGGATTACTAACTTTTAGTTCCAAAGTTCTAACATTTTGAGAGC